TCCTGGATATCCTTGTTAACTTTCTGTCTCGTTGATCTGTCTAATGTTGACAATGTGGTGTTAAAAGTCTCCCATTATTATTGTGGGGGAGTCTAAATCTCTTTGTAGGTCTCTAAGGACTTGCTTTATGAATCTGGGTGCTCCTGTATTGGGTGCATATATATTTAGTATGGTTAACTCTTCTTGTTGAATTGATCCCTTTACCATTGTGTAATGGCCTTCTTTGTCTCTTTTGATATTTGTTGGTTTAAAGTCTATTTTATCAGAGACTAGGATTGCAACCCCTGCTTTTTTTTGTTTTCCATTTGCTTGGTTGATCTTCCCCCATCCCTTTATTTTGAACCTATGTGTGTCTCTGTATGCGAGATGGGTCTCCTGAATACAGCACACTGATGGGTCTTGACTCTTTATTCAATTTGCCAGTCTGTGTCTTATAATTGGAGCATTTAGTCCATTTACATTTAAAGTTAGTATTGTTATGTGTGAATTTGATACTGTCGTTATGATGTTAGCTGGTTATTTTGCTCGTTAGTTAATGCAGTTTCTTCCTATCATCAATGGTCTTTACAATTTGGCATGTTTTTGCAGTGGCTGGTACCAGTTGTTCCTTTCCACATTCAGTGCTTCCTTCAGGAGCTCTTGTAAGGCAGGCCTGGTGGTGACAGAATCTCTCAGCATTTGTTTGTCTGTAAAGGATTTTATTTGTCCTTCACTTACGAAGCTTAGTTTGGCTGGATATGAAATTCTGGGTTGAAAATTCTTTTCTTTAAGAATGTTAAATATTGGCCCCCACTCTCTTCTGGCTTGTAGAGTTTCTGCCAAGAGAGCCACTGTTAGTCTGATGGGCTTCCATTTGTGAGTAACCCAGTCTTTCTCTCTGGCTGCCCTTAACATTTTTTCCTTTATTTCAACTTTGGTGAATCTGACAATTATGTGTCTTGGAGTTTCTCTTCTTGGGGAGTATCTTTGTGGTGTTCCTTGTATTTCCTGAATTTGAATGTTGGCCTGCCTTGTTAGGTTGGGGAAGTTCTCCTGGATAATATCCTGAAGAGTGTTTTCCAGCTTGGTTCCATTCTCCCTGTCACTTTCAGGTACACCAATCAGACATAGATTTGGTCTTTTCACATAGTCCCATATTTATTGGAGGCTTTGTTCATTTCTTTTTATTCTTTTTTCTCTTAAACTTCTCACTTCATTTCATTCATTTGATCTTCAATCACTGATCCCATTTCTTCCTCTTGATCGAATCGGCTAGTGAAGCTTCTGCATGTGTTATGTAGTTCTTGTGCTATGGTTTTCAGCTCCATCGGGTCATTTAACGTCTTCTCTACACTGTGTGTTCTAGTGAGCCACTCCTGGCCTCAGGTGATCCACCCACTTCCACCTTCCAAAGTCCTGGAATTACAGGGATGAGCCACTGCACCGGGCCCCAAGAGCTTGGATTTTTAAGGAACCAAAAGGCAATTGATGTGGCTAAAGCAAGGGCTTTCAAATGCTAGATTGGATGTAGAAGATGATAATAAGGGAGAACTGTGACTGTTTCTAAGGGGTCTTTGCTAAATCAGCTGAGTTGATGGCAAGGCCATTTATGGAGGTACAGAATTCTGGGAAAGATAAGGTTTGGGTAGGGAGAAGGAAGAATTCCCTTTCGGGGAGCATTTTTCTGAGGTGTTTTCATATTTGTTCTCACCATTTCACACTTGTTCTGTAATATATCCAACACTAAGGTTTTATCAGTTCATTTCCTCTTCTTTATCTGATTTCAGTTTACATGTCTCCTTCACCAAATTAGTAAGTTTCCATCTAATCCTGTTTTCCTCCTTCTTCATAGGATGCATGCTCCTGGCCTGATACTTCTCATTCCAGTATCAAAAGCCATGAACCAGGAAACTTCTTCCTTAATACTTTTGATTCAATATATCTTTCCACTCATAACCTTATCTCTTCCTTTTACCTTCAGAATCATGACCTTAAAAAAAGTTCTGTTGAAGAAGGTGAAAATAAAAAGTTCATTATTTCTTACTTGGTTTTATTGTTTGTTCACAATGTGAGAGGCATGGAGGGGTGTCGTTGTGGGTTTTAGGGTGGCTCTTCACAAGGCATTCTAAAACAACAGCACACTTTTCCATGCTGAGCTGTATCAGTTCCTTAGCAGGTAGCCACAAGGAGGAAAGAGAGGGCACGGTGGATCTTCTTGGTGATACAAACATGGTAATAACTTTTAGGATCTCTTTTCTTACAGGTTTATTAACTTAAGCAAAAATGGACAGGGCAGCTGCTTGAGCCACAGTTAAGTGCTCCATTGTCTCTACACAGTAATCGGAGCACCTTTAAAGCTTGAACAAATTCCACAGGCTCCACCTCTCACCTTCTATTCCACTCCACTGCCCCACTCTCCTTCCCCAGTTGAATCTGTCAGAGGTGGCCAGCATCACCTGGTCCTGATCAAGATGGTACTGATCCAAAAATTCAAGAGATTCAAGAGGAGTGGGGAAGAGGGAAGTCAGGTACTGACGGAATGACTGGAGGTGGCTTTATTTTCCATGTCCTCATCCGGGTTTGCATGGAGACTTCTCTGACATCAGCCTTGTGCTCCTCTGCTAGTTGTCTTATATTGTGTAACCTAATAGAGGAAGCAAGCTCTCATGCCCAAAAAGTGCAAGTCACTTTGCTGTCTAGTTCTGCCTCCCTGAAACTGGCAAATGTTTCATGCCAGTCATTACATCTCTTGTGGTAGCTGTTTCAAACTTAAAAACCAAACAAACAAAAAAACTTTTTAAAATTAGAAGAGTAGTATGGAGCACATAATTAGATTTGCCTACCTCTCAGGTGTCCTAAAATTACACTTTTCAGAAAAAAAATTAGTTTATTTTACTGTCTTTATTTCCAATGCTCCATGTAATTACCAATCCTTCCTGCATCTTCTGGGGCTTGGGCATATGATAGTAGGATGCTCAATAAGTTCATGTTCTACTTCTATGCATAATACATTTTTGGTGAATCTTTCCAGGTCTTAGCATGCTTTTTATTTTCTGTGTGACTTAACTGAGGAAGCAATCCTGGCTTTTTTAGGCTGCTCCAAGATCTATTCTATCTTTTACCTATAGGGATTCTAATCCCTACCTCTAAGGATTCCAGAGTGTCAATCCTGACCCTGTCCCTCTTTTGTCCTCTGCTGAGCCCAGCAAGCCATGTTAATCATACAAAACCAAAGTACCTAAAGGGAAAGGTCAGACCTGCTACCTAGCCATTTCGTTTGGAAAATGTACACGTTTATTTTCTTTATTTTAATAGAAAATACGTCCTACTTCAGTGACTTCAAACTGGCATGACCTAATAAATGAAGCTGGCTCAGAAGCGTATACTTTCTGCTTCATGGGCCCGAAGAGTCACCGCAATATAGACATACTAGAGCAGTGGCAGAGTCCAGCCTGCAAGTGTCTGGGTTTAACAACTAACAGATTTTTCAAGTTCTTTATAGAGTAGGCATTAAAAAGCTACTAGAACAGAGGGTGTAGCATTTATGGAGACGAGGCCACACACTCATTTCTTCTACAGAATCATCTGATACAATCCCTGGATGACACATTTTCTAAACTGGCGTTCCCCAGTGCCAACTGAATTTTGTATGGGCCACAAAATATTAAGTTCTGCTTTTCCAAACCGTCTAACAGCTGGATAGATCATGAAAGGGAGTTTAGGAATTGTTTCCTGTTTATGTTTCAAGTACCTGACTTCTGTTTGTTTCAGCATTGCAGAAGTTTCTCTCCATTATCTCTTCCTTTTCAGTGTCTGGGAAATCTGTGGTTTTTTGTTTTTTTAATTAGAAAACATAGTATTGGGTCTTGAATGTGTTCTCTTAAAAGGAAATTACTCTGTAAGCATGGGCCAAGCGTCAGGAACTCCTCAGAATCAGATTCTGCTCCCAAACTTTTTGCAGAAGCTTCATCTTATACTGTTTATGAACTGTTTATGGCAGATGTCTTTGTGGAAAGAGGGTGGATACCGGATGTATCAGGCCTATCGGCTGCTGTGCAGCCTGGGACAAGTTTTCTTCAGATTTCTGTGACCCCTGGTGAAAAAGGAGGAACTGTGTCAGGCCCCAGCTATATCTTAAAGATGTAGGAGACTCCTAAGTCTGAGGACTCCTGAGTCCTTTAGGATACTTCTTTCTTGCAGTAAACTTGAGTGTTTCTTACATCCTTGCCTTGTGACCCTTTTATTTCCAGACCTGAAAAAAAATACAAAGAAACTTATTTTTTAAACTCTGAATGTTCTTAAATTCAACTATTTCTATAACAGTCTATGGCTCCTTAATTCCAGAACCTCAGAAAACAGTTGTGAAATTATTTAATGATTCTTTCAATAAGCAGGTAGCTGCTGCTTAGTGACAATTTGGATATTTGAGAAAAAAATTTAAAAAATAAACTGCCTATCTATCTCCATAGTTAGAACTGTCCATCACCTGATTTTGATATAGAAACTGCTGTTACTTTGTCCTTTGTTTTCTGCTATGTGAGTTCCTGACCATCTTCAACACCTCTCCATCACTTTTTCTCCCACACTTTCCAGGCCTTGGAGTACCTTTTCAAGTTCATTGTACAGTCACGGATCCTGTACTCACGAGCCACTTGTGGAATGGAAGAGGAACAATTCAGATCCAGTATCCAAGAACTTTTCCAGTCCATCCGGTTTGTGCTCAGTCTGGACAGCAGAAACTCAGAAACACTCCTTTTTACTCAGGTTCGCACACTGCAGGGAAGCTTTGCTGCTGGGTTCCTCTTTCTCAGCGGGAGGTTTCTTTGTCTTCTGGTTTTCAGAGATGAAGAAACCCTGCCAGGATCATGTGTGTTGGGTAAGGGGTGATTTATAAGGAAATACCTGATACAACAAAATGCTGCTTTTACTGCAAATCTGGCTGTGCCTCAGCTGCCAGATGTAAAACAGCTCAGTGGCTTTATGTTGGAGATGAAGCACAAATTTGTTCTTGTGAACAGTCTTTAGACCAAATTTATTTAGCTACATACTACTTAGTTTTTTATGAACATCTTATTCATAGGAGATAATCAGAATGTATGGGGAATTTTATTTCCTGATTAAGCATTGTATTAATGAAAGTTGGGCACAGTGGCTCACGCCTGTAATCCTAGCACTTTGGGAGGCCAAGGCGGGCGGATTGCTTGAGCTCAGGAGTTCAAGACCACCCTGGGCAACATGATGAAACCCCATCTCTACTAAAAATAGAAAAAATTAGCATGCACCTGTAGTCCTGGCTACTCAGGAGGCTGAGGCAGGAGAATTGCTTGAACCCGGGAGGCGGAGGTTGCCGTGAGCCAAGATTGCACCACTGCACTCCAGCCTGGGCAACAGAGTGAGACTGTCTCCAAAAAGAAAAAGGAAAAAGGAAAATTTAGATTAGCTTCTGTCCATTCCAGAAGTTGAATGAAATAATTTGTAAAACAGTAGGATTAACTAGGAAGCTTTGGCTAAGAATTAAGATTAAATTAGGATCAGAGGGCTGGCAAGATGGCCAAATAGGAACATCTCTGGACTACAGCTCCCAGTGAGATCAACGCAAAAGGCAGATGATCTGCATTTCCAACTGAGGTACCTGGCTCATCTCACTGGGACTGGCTAGACAGTGGGTGCACCCATGAAGGGCAAGCAGAAGCAGGGTGGGGTGTCGCCTCACCTGGGAAGCTCAAGGGGTTAGGGAACTCCCTCCCCTAACCAAGGGAAGCCAGGAGAGACTGTGCCTTGAGGAATGGTGCATTCCGGCCCAGATACTACGCTTTTCCCACAGTCTTTGCAACCCGCAGACCAGGAGATTCCCTCAGGTGCCTACGCTACCAGGGCCCTGGGTTTCAAGCACAAAACTGGGCAGCTGATTGGGCAGACACTGAGCTAGCAGCAGGAGTTTTTTTCATACCCCAGTGGAACCTGGAACACCAGCGAGACAGAACCGTTCACTCCCCTGAAAAGGGGGCTGAAGCCAGGAAGCCAAGTGGTCTAGCTCAGCGAATCCCACCCCCACGGAGCCCAGCAAGCTGAGATCCACTGGCTTGAAATTCTCACTGCCAGCACAGCAGTCTGACGTCGACCTGGCACACTCAATCTTGGTCAGGGAAGGGGCATCCACCATTACAGAGGCTTGAGAAGGCAGTTTTCCCCTCACAGTGTAAGAAAGGCTGACAGGAACTTTGGAGGGGGCAGAGCCCACCACAGTGCTGTCAAGCTACTGTAGCCAGACTGCCTCTCTAGATTCCTCCTCTCTGGGCAGGGCATCTGTGAAAGAAAGGCATCAAGCCCAGTCAGGGGCTTACAGATCCAACTCCCATCTCCCTGGGACAGAGCACCTGGGGGAAGGGGCAGCTATGGGCACAGCTTCAGCAGGCTTAAGTGTTCTTGCCTGCCGACTCTGAAGGGAGTGGCAGATCTCCCAGCACAGTGCTCGAGCTCCGCTAAGGGACAGACTGTCTCCTTAAGTGGATCCCTGAACCCCATGCCTCCTGACTGGGAGACACCTCCCAGTAGGGGATGACAGACACCTCATACAGGAGAGCTGTGGCTGGCATCTGGTGGGTGCCACTCTGGGAAGAAGCTTCCAGAGGAAGAAATAAGCAACAATCTTTGCTGTTCTGCAGCCTCCGCTGGCAACCTATAGAATAGGAGAAAATTTTTGCAATCTATCCATCTGACAAAGGGCTAACATCCAAAATCTGCAAAGAACTTAAACAAATTTACAAGGAAAAAAAAACATTAAAAAGTGGGCAAAGGAGATGAACAAACACTTCTCAAAAGAAGACATTTACATGGCCAACAAACATGAAAAAAACTCATCATCACTGGTCATTAGAGAAATGCAAATCAAAACCACAATGAGATACCATCTCAAACCAGTTAGAATGGCGATCATTTAAAAGTCAGGAAACAACAGATGCTGGAGAGATGTGGAGAAATAGGAACACTTTTACACTGTTGGTGGGAGTGTAAATTAGTTCAACCATTGTGGAAGACAGTGTGGTGATTCCTCAAGGATCTAGA